ACTGCATCTGAATATTCAGTTCTCATACCTACTTGATTTCTCAAGTTTTGATATAAACGTGGTCTAGTGGTCTTATATATGTATCCATATTTCTCAAAATCTTTGGTCTTTCTTTTATTTATTTCTTTTTGTCTTTTTGCAATTGGACAATTCAATACCAAATGCTCTTCTGCATGACAACTATGATATGTCTTTGTTTTTATATCCACTATTTTAATCATATATTCTCCTGTTTCCCATGTTTGTCCTATAAGTTCCCTTTTTCCTTCTTCACTTTCTAATGTCATCAGGAATTTTTATATAACGTTTTACAACGTTATACGAATGGAACGTTCGAATAGTGTTCTAGAATGACACCAACGTACTAGAATGTAACATTGTAGAACATTATACGAATGTTCCATTCATATTACGTTTTATGATCGGCATTTATATAACATTATATATCGCCGTTTTATAACGTATAACGAACTTTTCGTATTAATAACGTTGTATATCGGCGTTCATATATCGTTAGTCATAATGGTACAAATTTTTTATAACATTCTAGAATGGCATTTAATAACGTTAAAAGTACAAAATATTCGTTTTACACTATAAAAATGGTCATTTAATAAACATTTATTGTATCATTTTTTTATAATTTAACGTTAAATAACATTTTTTATATTTAATTTATGCGTTTTTTTGATTTCAATCTTTATTATTTTCTTTATTAATTATTATTTTACATTTATTATAATTATTACTATATTATTTTATTGCATGTATAATAAAGAAATATATTAATAAATATTAATTCGTTACGAATTTTTAAAATTTTAAAGTAATAATTTTCATTCCATATCACTTTTATCATTATTGTCTTTGTCCATTTGAAACAAATTTATATCATTTTCTTCATTAGAGTCAATATAAATTATGCCAACGTCTTCGTTGTCTTCATTCATATTGTCGTTTTTATCCTTTTCTGATTCTGAGGATGATTCCGAAAATGATTCTGATTCTAATAATGAAATATAGATAATTCCATTTTTGATTTTACCCTAAATTATAATGATATTTAACATTTTTTTTTGTTTTTTTTTGGCATGATCAATAAATTAATACTTTAATAAAACTTATTATATTTTTTCTTATTTTTGATTTCATTATTTCGTCTCTTACTCATATACCTCTATTATCGGGATCAAGAATTATTTCGATTGCTTCTACGACGAACGCGAGGAGGAGTTTTGCTTCCTTAGCGAGATTTGAAAATACTTTTTATAATATTTTATTACACCATGTTGATGTTTCTTCATCATCGTTATCATTTATTTTTTTATGTAGTTTTTTAAACGTTTTTTTAACTTCATTTTTTTTCTTCCAATCCATTATTTCTTTTATCGTAGTGTTGTTACTAATACTTGGTAATAAATCTTCGCCAAAGGTAGAAAATATTGCCAATTTAATTTTCACAACCATATTGTTCCTCATTGATAGAAGTCTTTCTAGAATCTATATTATAAAACATTATTTAACGTTGTTACAGAACGAAAATATGACGATAAAATAATATTAAAAACACCTGCAATAATAATGACCCTTAAAATGATATTTAGAATTTAATAT